TAGAGTCACTACCTACTTCTGTAACTACAGTAAACTTAGGGAGTGGGATTCTTGTTATTTAGGTAATCTTGATTTGTTGGGTTTGGAAATGAATATGGATCTAAACTGTATCGTGGTCATAAGATGTCATGAGGGCCAGCACACTCTTCTAGGAACTAGGAATGGACAGATGCGGTCTACCTCAAGGTAATTAACTTCAGTGAAAAAAGCAGACGTTTTCCCCAAACTTCATGCCTTTTATAATCAAGTGAGAAAAACAGTAAAATGAGTATGCAGTCAATTAAAAATCATTTTTCTCCAAAAAGAAGTTTGGAATTTAATTTGTCAAACTGTCCAAGCATTTCTCTTTTATGCCATTTGGTTTGAAGCACTATGAATTCAGTCATTTGCTGGTATTGATCAAGAAACATGAAAAGGTTGCTGTATGATTTGAGAGACCATCAGTAGAAGTCACTTTTGAGTAGGACATTTTATTAAAAGACATTGTACACCAAGTAATATTTTTAAAAGGAAAAAAATAAGGAAACAGTGTTACTGTTTTTTCATTTTTATATTTATTTTAGAGGAGGATATATTAATTTCTTATGTAGCTATAAATAATTGCCATAAACTTGGTAGGCTAAAACCATTCAAGTTTATCATCTTATAGTTCTGGAGGTCAGAAGTCTTAAACGGGTTTCATTGGGCTAACATCAAGGTGCTGGCAGAGCCACACTGCCTCCACAGGCTCTAGGGGACAATCCTTTTTGTACCTTTCCTGGCTTCTAGAAGCTCCCTTCATTCCCTGGTAGGGATTCCTAATCTACAAAATTACAAATCCCCAAGGAATTAACAGAATACTAATCAGTAGGGTTTTGGATTTCTACTGAAATTTTACAGAAATTGCAGGGAAGCAAATTTTGTATCATTGAGGGCAGGCATCAGAGTCAGGTAGAAACCATCTTCCCAACTTCTTTATCACTGAAACAAGAGATCTGTTAGATTTAACAGGAATGATATTTTAAAGTGCTTCTGTTTGGGGAAGCATGCTGTTTTAAAATGAGTTTAACCACTGCCAATTCTACCAGAGTGAGAAATATGAAAGGTAAATACTCGTTGGAGAATTAGTTCATTCTTTATTAGGCATCTCTTCCCAGGTATTGTTATACGCCACTTACACCCAAAAAGCAGAGTTCAATGATGTAAAATAAATCCCTGGATTATGTGATGTGTTTGTGCCTTGACAATCTCCAGAGATTATTGTTACTGAACTGTCTTATAACCCAATACCGTCTCTCTATCTCATCCCTCCCTACTCTGGGAGAGAACTCTTGCACTTCTCAGGGCTCAGTAATGCTAAAGTGTGGGACAGCCTGGATGTTTGCAGAGAATGACAAGCAGCAAATTTAGGAAAACAGATACTCTTTAGTACTGAAAATGCTACTGCTAGAAGTATCTGGATGGCTTAGTCAGTTAAATGTCCAGCTCTTGATTTTGGCCTGGGTCATGATCTTGGGGTAGCAGGATCCTGCCTCAAGTTGTGCTCCATGCTCAGAGTGGGATCTTCTTGGGATTCTCTCTCTTCTTCTGCTCCTCTCTCCACTCACATGCTCTCTCTAAATAAATAGATAAAATCTTAAACAAAAATGTAATTGCCAGCCTCACATATGAATATCTCTAGGTATTAGTAAGTGGTCTCTTTAAACGGACAGTTGAATTTCATGAGCTTGTTACTCCAATGCAAATGACTGACAAAACCTCATTGGTGTCCTTAGTTACCTCCCCTCTGGAATTTCTCCAAGTGCCAAGGGGGTGTCTCTCATGTACCCCTAAATCAGGCCAAGCCACAACGCCTGCCATTCAGGTCTTTGCTAATTGTGGTCTGCACGCTACTGCAGGTTCCAGCTCTTTGGAGATTCACCCTAGCCACAAACGTCTCCATACCCACGACGCTGTGAATGCTGGAACTGCACTGGGATTAAGGGCCTCTACCTGCAGCCTGCCCAGCTTGAATGACTCACCCTCAGTCTGAGTCCACAGCTCTGGAGCTTATCCCCAGCCAGGCCAAATGTGAGACAGCCACCTCCATGCTGGAGTCCATGCTGAAGGGAGTAGGCCTTCTGGGACATTCCCCTTGATATCCACCCTTCCACATAGGTCTTCTGAACTCCAGTATCATCCCCGACTGCCCTTTATCTGTATTCAGCCATTTCTTTTCTACCCAAAGTCCACCTCGTATGTATTTCAGGCTGTGCTCTGAAGACAGGAGGGTATTAGGGATACCAGTGTTTCTTGGAGGAGGGGCATAACAGGGGAGAGGATTTGGGGCCTTAGAGAAAAAAAAAAAAAAAGTTGCGTTTGCCAACTAATAGAGATTTTTTTTTTTTTTTGGTCACAACTGCAGGGTTCTGCTGACATCTAGTGGTTATAAACAAGGATGCTTCTTAAACATCACTAGACCGTTTACCGCAACAAAGAATTATCCAGCCCAAACATCAATCACTGTCAAGGTTGAGAAACTCTGCCTTACATCTGTTTCTTAGAGGACTTATTACTTAAGTTTCAGTTTCTCAAGCCGATTTTAGGTCAGTTGCCATGTTTCACTTTCTATTTCCTTTTTCCCTAGTTGCTGTGTTTTACATCTTGGTAAGAATAAATCAAGGGGCAGCTGGGTGGCTCAGTCAATTAAGTGTCTGTCCTTTGGCTCTTGTCATGATCCCAGGGTTCTGGGATTGAGCCCCACATCGGGTTCCTCACTTGGCGGAAAGCCTGCTTCTCCTTCTCCCTTTCCCTCTGCCGGCCACTCTCTCTGCTTGCACGCTCTCTCGTGCTCTCTCTGTCAAATAAATAAACATTTTTTGAAAAGAATAAATTCAAAAGACAATGCACTATTGATTTGCTGAAGACCGCACCCAATCCACCTTTCTGTGAAAATAAAGATTGATCTATAAATTCCACCTAATAATTTCAACATGTTCAACACCCACTCAACAGGTCTTCGTTTCCTCCATCCTGAAAATGTATATTCTTTAAATTTTTTTTTTAAAGATTTTGTTTATTTATTTGACAGAGATCAGAAGTAGGCAGAGAGGCAGGCAGAGAGAGAGGAAGGGAAGCAGGCTCCCTGCTGAGCAGAGAGCCCAATGTGGGGCTCAAACCCAGAACCCCGGGACCACGAGCTGAGCCAAAGGCAGAGGCTTTAATCCACTGAGCCACCCAGGCGCCCCATATTCTTTAAATTTTTTTGCATGTAGTTTTTGTCTTTCTGAATTTGAATTCTTAACAATATATGTAGATAACCAGGATTTCTTTTTCCTTTGATGTTTACTTCTGATTGCTTAGTTGCTATTCATTTAAACCTTTATAATCAAAGACAATCTCTTGACCTAGATAAGCTAAGAGAAAGGAAGGGAAAGAAGTGGGAACAAGGAAGAAAAAACACAATCAACATACTGGAAATTTTTTCAAACAGTGGAGGACTATTTTTAAAATTCTTTTTATTCTTTTTTTTTAAAATTTTATTTGTTTATTTGACAGAGAGAGAGAGAGATCAAAAGTAGGTAGAGAGGCAGGCCCAGGGAGTGGGAGAAGCAGGCTCCCTGCTGAGCAGAGAGCCGGAGGCTTAACCCACTGAGCCATCCAGGAGCCCTGAAATTCTTTTTATTCTTAATTCTTTTAAATTTTTAAAAATTCTTAGTAAGAAAGAAATTCTAGGTTTATTTTCTACCCATACTAAACCATTCAATACCTTTTCTAAAATGTGGCTTCCCGCTTCAGAAAAACATTACAATAGCCTTTAGGCCCACCACATTACCTCTCAGACCTCAATTCTTAGGGACTTTTTCCCTGCTCTTCCCATTCCAAACACACCATCCATGCATGCCAAGTATGCTTCACCTCCAGGGGTTTGCATCTACTGTTTCCCATGCCTGGAACTTTCTTCCCTAGCTCCTTATCTCCAGTGCTCACTCCTCACCCACTTCAGATCTTTGTTCAGTTGCCACTTACTTTCTCAGTGAAACAAGCTATTCAGCTATTACCAACAGCTTTATACTAGCAAAAATACCCCGCACTCCAAACCTTTCTGTGCTTTTTCTCCATATCATCTGATACATAATGTTTCATTTGTTCTTTACTATTTTTATCTCCCATACTAGAAGATAACTCCAAAAAAGTAGGTCCTCTGTTTTCATCATTACTATATTGATAGTACCTTGAACAAGGTCTGGTTTTAGCAGCTGTTCAATATAATTTGTTGAATGAATGAATGATTGAATTCAAGTGGAACAAAAGTCTAGGTTTATTGGTATTTGGCATTTTCTGCTTAGCTTCCCAATACCACCCCCATCTTCACTAGAATCTTATTATGGTGAGTAAGGCTGGCAAGGGCACAGAAGACAAGCACTCTTACACAATTGTGAGTGGACGTGTATAAACCTCTATTCAAAGCTATTCAGCAATACCTATCAACTGCTAAACTGTTTATACATCTTGACCCCAAAACTTCCTTAAATTTACCCAACAGAAATAATTGCATTGGTGTACAGCGTTGTACCTGTTTTTTTCAGTGAAGACGGGAAGCAAGGACTTCAGTTTCAGCTTAGGATGCAGAAAGCTGGAAACAGCATCGGTGCCACCCTTACAACAAGAATAACGCTGAACAATCTCCTCTCATTTTATTTAAAAATAAATTAAAGAGGTTGCTCGAGTACCACGCAGGCTTAGCAAGACAGGTGAGAGCCCAGGCCAAAGTCCAGAGGGCCAGCTGCAAATTCCACACGGAACCACACGGAGCTCTGCAAACATGCACGCCCCCTCCACCCCGCCCGCTCCCCCCAACCCGGGGTTTCTCAGCCGAGCCGGGGCCCCACTCAGCTCTAGCAGAAGTTTCCGTTTCCTGGAACTGGACTCCGCCTAGTCCGAGATCAGATTCACTTTCCAGCTCCCTCTTCCCGCTCTGGTCCTGCGTTTAACAAAGCCAACGCCTGGGCAGCGACCTCGCGCAGTAGAGACCGGGTGGCAAGAGCCCACCGCCCGCCCGCACTCCCCGCGCACGCGCGCACGCCCGCTCGCGCGCGCGCCCCACCACTCCGCAGGCCGGGATCCCAGTCCTGAGGAGAAAGCCCGAGGGTACTGCCGCCTCCCCGGGCTACTCGCAGCGCCCAGCCATCATGAGGTAAAGGCTTTCCCCGCTTCTGCCCCCAGACTGCGTAGGCCTTTGTTTCAAGCCGGTGGTGTTTTGTTGTTATTTTTTTTTTCCCAGCCCGTTGCCCGCACAGCGCCGCGGCCCTTCAAGTGGCCGAGCCCCTCACGCCCAGCAGCGGGGCGTCGGGTTTGGGACGTCCCCTCGGGCGCCGTGACTCGGTTCGGGGCGTCTGGAGTCGGGCCTGGCGGGGACGGTCGTCGAGCGCGCGCTTCCCCGAAGCACCGACCCTCTCCGGTTCAGGACTGTCCGGCCGGGGTGGTAGGCGGGGGAGGGGGCCGGCGACGCTCCCCGGGAGACTGCCCCCTCCCTGCGGCTCTTCTCGGCGGCGGCGGCGACCGTGCTTGGTTGGCGGCCGCCGCCAGGGCCATTCCAGGCGGCTTCTACGTGGCAGGCGTCTCCTGAGGCCCCCGTCGCCTTCCTCCCCTTCCCGGGACGGCAGCTGCCATTCCCCCGATGTGGGCAGACACGATTTGGCCGCAGCCCTGCAGTTGTCACCTAGGTCGGCTACTGCCATTTTGCCTTTCTGGTTTCTGGGTCTGAGTTCTTCCCTTCTTGTGAGCTGCCTTTGTACCGCGTCCAGATTCTTATTACTCCGCCCTGTCCTCTATTGGGGGGGGGGGGGGGTGTTCTCTTCTGTCTCCTTTACTGCCTTATGGTAGTGGGGTCCTTTTCTCACCCGCTTTGTGTCCCCAGGGGATGGCACCCTTCCCTGTGCGCAATGAGTGAACCGCAGTTAGTAAGAGGGATGAGAGGATAAGCTCTTGGGCTCCTGAAGCAGACAGCCCTTTCTTCTAAATCCTCATTCTGAACACCTACTAGTTGGGTGACCCAAAGCAAAGTTGCTTAAAACTCTGTGAGTCTGTTTCTTATCCGTACAAATCAGTGACCTCCCAATCTTAGGACTGTAGGGTTAGTTGATTGCTTGGTACTTAAAATAATAATAAACATTTGCAAATATTAAGTAAAAAGGAAATTTAATAAGTGTTTCACTTCTAATATCTGTAAGAAGGGAAGGAGGTATCAGGAAGATGTCTGAATAAATGAGAAGAAAAGGGATAGGCCTAATGGTATGCAGGATGGGCTGGAAGAGGGGTGGAACCCACTTGGGGTTTAACTGTCCTCCAAGGACAATGAAAGACTGCTCCTTCCTGGCCAAACCCCCCAAATTCCCTAAAGATAAATGTTGCCTCTTCAGACACAATAGCCTCTCTCTGCCGGCTTTCCAGAGACAGAGTTTTGAAAAGTAAAACTTTGCATAGCATCCATTTGGGCATAAATTCCACAGAGTCTGGGCAAGGCACTTCAGTGACTGACTGATTATCCCCTTGAGATCTCACAACTACATTCATATTACCTGAGGCAGCCCTCTTCATCGTCCTTGAGCTGGGCTGGTGTAAACTTTGCAACAGAAACATGTCCATTATACTGTATGGATGGGCAGGGGGCTGGTAAGCCCATTTGCCATGGATCTGGGCAGGTTGTTAAGGGGATGTCTTGCCCATGATTTGGGTGCAGTTACATGAGAAAAAGGAACAACTACCAACGGACAATTATACTGGGTTTCCCAATCAGGACCATGGGAAACAGTCCAAAACTTATTTTCAAAATCCAAACATGAAGCCAGACAGAGAGCATGCCAAGATATTAAGACAAATGAGATAGGGAAAACTGAAATGGGAGAAAGCCTGGAGCCATTAGCAGAAGGTGAAGAACTAGTAAGGATTCTCTCGTCTGGAATCCAGGTGCTTTTTACGCTAAGCCTATACCTCTGGGCTGGACATGCCAGAAACTGCCAGTATATAACTGCATTCATTCAACACATTTATTTATTGAGCTTCTATTAACTTCCTGGAATAATAGATTCCAGGGACACAGTGCTGGGGACCCAGTGGTGAAAAATATAAAATCAGAACAAGGTCACTATTCTTATGGGGCTTACATTTAAATGGGGGCAATAGATAAACAATAGGTAATTTGAGTAAATAACACAATTGAGAAAGTATTAAGAGTTACAAGGAAAATAATGTAATGGCCTAAGATAGTAACCTAGAATGGAGGGGACTATTTTAGATATTTCTGCTATGGGTAGCCTTTTGGGTAGAGAATGTTGGAGCTGAGTTATAGGAAAGAGCTAGTTATGCAAAGCTTTAGAAGCAGAACATTCCCCGGGTAAAATGACCAGGATTAAAGTCCTTGAACTTGGTATGTTCAAGATAGGAAAGTCAAGGTCCAAAACAAAGTGAATGAAAAGGAGAGTAGGAGGAGAAAATAGATAAGGCCAAGTCCTTTAGGGACTTAAAGGACGTGGCAAGGACTGGATTAATATCTAAGGGTGTTGGGAAGCCATTGGGAGATTTTAAGCAGGAGACCGACATCATCTGGTTTACATTTTCAAAAGTTTAGTTGGACTCTGAGGGGATCAAGAGCCAAAGCTGGAAGACCAGATTTTTGCCCCAGCTCAAAGGAACGGTAATTGTGGTTTAGAATAGTAAAACGGCAGTAAAAGTGGAGGAAAGTGCTTGGATTTGAGGTTTATCTGGGTGTTAGATTTAACAGGACTTCCAACTGGATTGGATAAGAGGTTGAGAGAAAAAGAAGATCAGATTACTCCTGGATTCTTTGGCTTGTGGAACTAAGAGGTGCCAAAGAAGATTGAGGGAGGAACAAGCTCAAGGAATCCAGATTTCTGGATTACTTCTGTTTATTTGAGATGCCAACTGAACTTCTAACTGAAGGTGTAAACTGAAAAACTTCTAACTGAAGGTGTGAACTGAAAATTCATTAAGTCTGGAATTCAGGGGAGAGATGAGAGATCAGAGATTAGATCAGAGATTAGGTTATAAATATGAAATGCTTTTATTTTTTTATTCACTACTACTAATTGTGCAATTAATTCAGTTCTGTAACTTCTGCCACTTTTTGCTATTAGGACAACCCCTTTCCAGTTCCTAAAACTCTATCTGATTCAGTTTAAAACATCAAGCTAGTATTTGACTTAAAGCACTCTTCTCCTCCTTCCCAACTCCCACCAAATATTGATGTAAAGTGCTATACAGCAAGGGAAATGTGATAGACTAGACTAGACTAGACTAGACTTTAGCCAAGGTGGTCAGGGGTACATCTCTTTGAAGAGCTGACATTTGAGTCAAGACCAGAATTGTGAGAGTTAAGCGCACGCTAGAACTCTCTGAGGAAGAGTTCACAAAATGAGGGAAGAAAAAGCCCATGCAGATGCCCTGAGGTAGATACATACTTGGCAGAAGTAACAGTTTTTTTAAAGGCCTGTATGGTTAGAGTGCAGGGAGTGGAAGGAAGGTTGTACAAAATGAGGCTAGAGAAGTAGACATGGGCTGGATGACAAAGGGCATAGCAATAATGATTAAGAGATTGAAGCTGGAGATAAAGTTTTGAATATTAACAATGTATAGTTTCACTTAAGCTTCATGTTCCATCTTTCTTGCAGTTATCCCTGCCTCTCTTCTACAAGCATCATTTTCTTCCTTACTACTGGATCATTCCTATTGGCATATCATAACATATTAAGTTATTAAAAATATTGTGGTTAAAAAAATTTTTTTAAAGATTTTATTTATTTATTTGACAGACAGAGATCACAGTAGGCAGAGAGGCAGAGAGAGAGGAAGGAAACAGGCTCCCTGCTGAGCAGAGAGCCCGATGTGGGGCTTGATCCCAGGACCCTGGAATCATGACCTGAGCTGAAGGCAGAGGCTTTAACCCACTGAGCCACCCAGGCGCCCCTGTTAAAAATTATTTTGACATTTTCATCAGCCTTCCTCCAGATACAGCTCTAGGTCTCTGGTTCCTTCGTAGTAAAATTCCTTGAGAGAGTGGCCTCTACTCCCCATATCTACTTCTTTACCTCACATTATCCCCTCAACCCACTCCAGTAATTTTTTTATTTGTTAAGATTTTATTTATTAATTAGAGAGAGGGAAAGAGAGCACGGGGCATGGGGGTTGGGGGAGCAGAGGGAGAATGAGAAGCATACTCCCTGCTGAGCAGGGAGCCCAATGTGGGACCGATCCCAGGACTCCCAAGATCATGACCCAGGCCAGACGCTTAAGCCACTGAGCCACCCAGGAATCCTCCAATAATGATTTCATCCCTACCTTTCTACTGAAACACTTATCCTGGTCCCCCACAGCTTTACTCCTGCCAAAACAGTGATCTCTTTTCTGTCCTCAATTACTCAATTTCTTAGAATCATTTTGCACATTGAATATTCATCTCTCTTTCTCAAAACATTTTCTTCCTTAGGCTTTCATTGATACCAGATTTCTTAGTTTTCCAGCTCCCTCACTGATGATTCTTTCTTTGCCTCCTTTCCTGGTCCTTCTAGTCTACTTGACCTAGAGTGTCTTACAGTTTAGTTTTTGACCTTCTTCTCAGTCTATGCTCACTCCTTAGGTAATTTCATTCTAGATCTTGTGGTTTTAAAGTCCATCTGCATGTCTGTGACTCCTGATTTTATATCCTTATTTCTAACTTCACTCCTCCTCATCCCCAGTATTGTATTCATTAATATCCAATTTCATACTTGGCATCTTCACTTGGATGTGTAATAGACATCTCAAAATTAACATTTCCATATAGGCCCCTTGATTTGTCCACTCACTTCCTCAAGTCAAAAGCATAGGAATCATCCTGGATTCTCTCTTTTCCTCATGGCCCGCCCCACACCAACTCCATCAGAAAGACCTGTCACCTCCGCCTCAAATATAACCAATGCAGTCCTCGCCAACCCTCCATTACAACCACAGTGTAAGCTTCCATCATCTCTCTTTGGATTTCCTTGACAGCTGCTTTCAAGCCTCTTTTAGGGAGATTTGCTCTCACCATGCTCTTTCTATTTTAACCACCTCTCAAATTCCCTGGCAACTTCCCATTTTTTTCTCCTTTTCTGCTTTATTTTTCTTCTTTATTACCATCTAACATACTCTATATTTTCTTTTTTTTTTTTTTTAATCTTTTCTTGGCCACCCGACTGCCCTATTAGAATATAAGCTACATGAAGTCAGGGTGTTTTTTCTGTTTTAATCACTGCTGTATCCCAGCACTTAGAACATGCCCTCTACATTGTACTTCTCAGTTAATCTTGGTTGAATAAATAGCTGTCATATCAGTTTGCAAACTTCCTCTTTTGATCCTTGATTGTTCATTCTCCTCACAGCAGCCAGAGGGATTTTTTAAAAACTTAAATCAAATATTATCATTTTTCTACTTGAAAAGTTTCCCCCAGTGGTTTCCCATTGCAGTTAGGGGAAAATCCTGCATCATCTGTCCCTGCCTACTACTATACCTCATCTTCTGCTATTCCTCTTTACTATGCTTCAGCCACACTTTTCTTCCTTTGTCCCCTAAACACACCAAGTATGTTCTCATGTCAAGACCTTTCCACTCACTGATCTCAGCCCAAACCAGGATTTCCTCATTCTCAACATTATTGACATTTCGGGCTAGATAATTCATTGTTGGGACTGACCTGTGCATTGTAGGATATTTAGCAACATCCCTGGCCCAGTAGGTGCTAGTAGCATTCCTCCAGTGGTGACAACCAACATTATCTCCAGACATTACCATATATCCCCTAGCGAGCAAAAGCACCCTGGTTGAGAAGCAGTGGCTTAGACCATTCTGCCCTCAGATCTTTTATGATTGCCTCCATTTCATTGTTGAGATCTTACTTCAATTGCCACTTTCTACAAAAGCTGTTCCTTTCATAATTATAACTAAAGTACCTCCCCAACCACCACCACCACTCTTAATTCCATTACTCAGAATTTTTTTCTTAACATTTACTACTACCTGGAATTATGTTGTTTGTTTGTTTTCATATTGATTTGTCTACATATTTGTTTTCCATCAACTCCTTTTGTTTTTTCTTCTCCCAGAATGTAATTGCCAAGAAAGGGCCATTTTCTAACTTGTTCACTACTATCCACTACAACTAGGATATTGCCTGACACATATGACATGAAGTGGTCAATAAATGTTTTGGTGGAATTATTACTATAGTTCCCATAAACATTTATACAACTATATATTTATATTTTACATACAAGGGGATGGGGTCTTTGTATGCATTCAAAGGAAATAAACACACATTCACATGCACATACCCTGTATACTGTTCAGATACTGTTCATAATTAGGGCATTTTCCTCTGAGAGAAGACTTAAGGAATTTTTTAAAATTTATTTTATTTTATTTTTATTTATTTGCCAGACAGAGATCACAAGTAGGCAGAGAGGCAGGTGGGGGTGGGGGTGAAGCAGGCTCCCTGCTGAGCAGAGAGCCCGATGTGGGGCTCCATCCCAGGACCCTGGGATCATGACCCGAGCTGAAAGCAGAGGCTTTAACCCACTGAGCCACCCAGGCGCCCAGGAATTTTTTTTTTCCAATTTTAGTATATATGCTGCCGAAGCGAGCACAGGAATTTTTTTTTCTTTTCCTATACATTTCTTAATTATGATTAATCATAGATTGAGAAATTTTTTTAAGACTTTTTTTTAAAGACTTTTTTAAAGACTTTATTTATTTATTAGAGAGAGAGAGATAACATAAGGGGGGTGGGTGGGGAAGAGGAAGAGAAAGAAGCAGTCTCCCCCACTGAGCAGGGAGCCTGATGTGGGGCTCCTTCACAGGACCCCGGGATCATGTCCTGGGCCGAGGGCAGATATTTAACCAACTGAGCCACCCAGTCTTTCTTGACTGTCACACTACCACTATCAGCAAAGCAAAAAAAAAATAAAATCAGGTATGTTAATTAGGATTTTGTCAGTTGCTGACAATAGAAACCTAATTTAGAGTGGCTTAAGCAGGAGGTTATTTCTTTAAGTAAATAGGAGTCCAGGGGTAGATAAGGTGATCCAGGCAAGACTGTTTATAGTCACTATCTTAAACTCTGCTTTCCTCTTTATAAATTTTTTCTCAGTCAGGCAGACTCCCCCCAAATTTGGAAAGATGGCCACCAGCAAACCCAAGGTTGTATTCTACCAACATAAAATTTTTAGAAGGAAGAGAGATAGTTCCATCAAAGTCCTGTTTCAACAAAAGTATATTTTAATTGGACTGCCTCGGAATATATCACTGAAACCAGGGAACGGCTTAGAATATCATGTCCCTTCCCAGACTCAAAAGTAGACAGTCCATTTCAAATCACATGGACTGAGTAGGAAAGGATGTTCCAGAAATGGAAACCAAAAGAATGGGTCCTCACCAAGTAAAAACCACAGATGTCCACAGCACTCGACTATGTACACTTCCTGGGTCACTTCTATGGAACTTTATGCTGAATCGTAATTGTTTACTTATAAGCTTTGTATAAGTAGGGCTATGTCTTATTCACAGTTACATACCCAAGGTTACTTAGAAGGTCTTGCACATAAAATGGTCTCAGTAATGAATAAATATTTCCTTGCCCTTCCTTCCCTCTGTATCTTCCTAGTTTCAGAGATAGTGTCTGTAGTGTGCCCTGCAGAGATTACACTGTGCCTTGCACAAAGGGAGCTCAACAAATATTTGTGAAGTGAATTTTAATAGCAGTGACAAGATAATAATAAGCATTAGCTATTGTTGCCCACAATTCTTGAGGTCAGAAGGATGTGGCACTTACATCAAATCTCTTAAGCTTACTAAATTTCCTTGTGCCTTTTCCCCATCTTTCTGGAAATCTGTTACTCTCTTTTTATCTATCTCAAACTTAATGCTTTTCCCCATCTGTTGGTATACCAGTTACTATCTGTTTCTGTGCTTTTTCTCCCTGTAGGGGTTCCTTCTTTTCTTTCTTCCTCTCTCTCTTCCTTCCTCCCTCTCTTTTTCCCTTCCTTGCTTCCTCTGTAAAAATGACATATTGGTATGGTTTTTGTGTCTTCTTCAGTGTACTCCTTTTTCTTATTTCATACCTCTTCTTTCCCTTCCTACTCATAATATAGAAATGGAACTTTTATATTAATTATTGCTATATATATTTATTATTCTTAATTTTCAAGGGAAGTAAATAAAACATTTTAAATTCCCCTCTGAAAAATTGGAGGTACTCATGGGTTAGTGACTACCCGAAGGGAATAAATATCCTGTGACATAGATAATCCTGTCATCGCTCCAAAATTGCTTTTGCAATAAATAATGAGGATATTTCTAGAATTTAACTCTACACCAGGGAAACCAGTATGAAGATATAGAGAACTAGTGCTTTAACTGTAAGATCAAATAAAAGGTAGAATTGTTGTTAAACAAAAAACTGTATATAAGGTTTAAAGATTGATTATTTCCTTTATTTCTTCAAAATTAAAAGGGATTTTATCTTTGACAGTGAAATTCCTAAGGACTCCTTGAAGGCCATCCTGTTGGAGTTAGAATGTCACTTTACATGGAATTTACTTAAGGAAGACATTGATCTATTTGATGTGGAAGATACAATTGGGCAACAACTTGAATTTCTTACCACAAAATCCAGACTCACTCTTTATAACCTATTGGCCTATGTGAAACACCTGAAAGGCCAAAATAAAGATGCTCTAGAGTGCCTGGAACAAGCAGAAGAAATAATCCGGCAAGAACACTCAGACAAAGAGGAAATACGAAGTCTGGTCACTTGGGGAAACTATGCCTGGGTATATTATCACATGGGCCATCTCAAAGAATCTCAGAAGTATATAGACAAGATAGGGAACGTTTGCAAGAAATTGTCCAGTCCTTCTAATTACAAGTGGGAGTGTCCTGAGATTGACTGTGAAAAAGGATGGGCACTCTTGAAATTTGGAGGAAAGTATTACCAAAGGGCTAAAGCAGCTTTTGAGAAGGCTTTGGAAGTCGAACCTGACAATCCAGAATTTAACATCGGCTATGCCATCACAGTGTACCGGCTGGATGATTCTGACAGAGAAGGGTCTATAAAGAGCTTTTCCCTGGGCCCTCTGAGGAAAGCTGTTACCTTGAACCCAGATAACTCCTACATTAAGGTTTTTCTGGCACTGAAGCTTCAAGATGTACATGCAGAAGCTGAAGGGGAGAGGTATATTGAAGAAATCCTGGACCAGATATCATCCCAACCATATGTCCTTCGTTATGCAGCCAAATTCTACAGGAGAAAAAATTCCTGGGACAAAGCTCTGGAACTTTTGAAAAAGGCTTTGGAGGTGACACCAACCTCTTCCTTCCTGCATCACCAGATGGGACTTTGCTATAGGGCACAAATGATCCAAATCAAGAAGGCCACACGAAACAGACCTAAAGGAAAGGATAAACTGAAAGTCGATGAGCTGATTACATCTGCTATATTTCATTTCAAAGCAGCTGTGGAAAAGGACTCTATGTTTGCATTTGCCTACACGGATCTGGCCAACATGTATGCTGAGGGAGGCCAGTACAGCAATGCTGAAGACGTTTTCCAAAAAGCCCTTCGTCTGGAGAACATAACTGATGATCACAAACATCAGATCCACTATCACTATGGCCGCTTTCAGGAATTTCACCGTAAATCAGAAAGTACTGCTATCCACCATTATTTAGAAGCCTTAAAAGTCAAAGACCGGTCATCCCTACGCACCAAATTGACAAGTGCTCTGAAGAAATTGGCTGTCAAGAGACTCGGTCACAATGCTTCAGATGTGCAGAGTTTAAGTGCGCTAGGGTTTGTTTACAAGCTGGAAGGAGAGAAAAGGCAGGCTGCTGAGTACTATGAGAGGGCCCAAAAGGTAGATCCAGAAAATGAAGAATTCCTTACTGCTCTCTGTGAGCTTCGACTTTCTATTTAAATACATACTCTAGGAAATTAGTTCTAAGCTTTTCTGTCCATTTTGGGTCATTATATTTTTTTGTTTATTATTTTAACCCATTGTTCATTATAGAGCCATTTTTTTGGATGGTTATGTACCACGCATCATTCTAAATACTTTATATATACATAATGATGACTGTTTTGCTGTTTTCCTTTTTTTTTTTTTAAATTAAACTAATATAGTCCATTGAGAAACAAATATTTCAGCTGCTGTAACTTTTGTTAAAAATGGTATGGCCATTTATACCCTTTATTTTTGCCATTTATAGTAATTTTCTATTAAATGTTATCAAATTTTCCATATTACTCACACAATGAGTATAATTCTATATAAACCCTGACACCTAGGAGTGCAAAATTATATTAGTTAAGCTCTTAATTATGTAGCTTGCAAAAGATGGACCCTTCCAGTTACAGATGTTTTGACTTTAATGAGAATGTTTAACCCTCAACCTGATATTCACCTAAAGAATCCTCTTTGTTGAACAAAAAAAGTTCATAATAATAAAAAGCTTGTCATCTGTGGTGACTTCAATAAAAAGAGAAAAAACAAATAGAAAAAAAAAAGACTTCTTCAAATAGGGGACCCATGAGAAATAACAAATATCTCCCAAATTAATTTTACTCCTTCCTATTAAAATTCCAGTATGCTTAGGTTAAAATCATTGAGATAGAAAGCGGGCCAATTGAGAAATTGGGAGAAATGATAAACAAATGGGTAAAATAGCTGTCCCTAACCTACATCCTTAGATTATCAAGATTTCTGTGATTTGGTTTTGGGTCCAGACTGGATTGTTCTCATACTCCCAACTTCTGGCCTTTGGTTAATTGTTTTATAATTCCAAATTTACTTCTGTGAAGCGTTTTCTTTTGTCTAAAGTTTTCAGATTGACATGTTTTCCTATAGATTCTACAGGAATAGTTAAGCCCTGCTTTCAGTTTTAATATCCATCTTGAAGGGTCAGTGTTTAAGGGCTCTTATCCCACGGGACATTTTTAATTGGGATGTTGCTAAAAGTAGCTTCTCTAATGTTGTTTCTTTGGTTATATACTACACAATTATATTTACCACCACAGTATTAGTGGAAAAGTGTGCCATGTGATTTAATTCTCCATACCTCTAATGTAGCTCTTAAAACTACTGTATACATATTTGTGTGTTTTTTACTTTTTGTTACTTTTTAAAAAAATTTTTTCTATTGTGAATATCATAAAAGTAATGAATTCTCATTGTAAAATTTCAAACATAACAGAAGCATATGAGTTTAAAAGTAGGGGCACCCCCTCCTTACCCTTCCCTAATTCTACACCAGCATGGTAACCTGTTAACAATTTAATATGTATCCTTCTAGATATTTTTTTATGCATATTCAAACATACATCCATACTGCAATGTATTTCATAAATTAAAATTTGAAAATGTTTTACTTAGGTCCCTGCTGTTTTTATTTTACTCATTCCATTTGTTTATTCAAGAAGGAAGAATGGGGAAGGGAACGATTTTTACCTAAGTATTTCAGAAATTCAGGACTAAAGTCCTGACCTATCAGTAGAAGCATTTGTCACATTTTGCAGCAAATATTTTATTTTGCAACAAGTCATTTTCCCCTATTGAGAATAATGGTGTAATTAAAATTGTGTTCCCAAGTAGAAAATTCACACATAATATAATACAGTTATGATACCAAAACAACAATACAACTATAAGCCTTTATTTAGATATTTAGACTTTAAAGTCTATTAAGTGACTTTAAAATTCTCTAGATATTATAACATATCAATATATAAGAAGTCATAAATACCAATAAAGCATAAATCAGCATATGAAAAATACAACTCTGTAAAATACTGAACTAAAATTAGTATGTTTATAATAACTGTAATTTTGTCATTAATTGTTCTTGCCTTTCTAAATTGTAAAACTATTTAGAGGTAATTTCATAGAGTCTTGGGTTTAAAAAAAGACCTCAGAATTCATTTGCCTTTATCAATTAACCTTCAAAACTTAGAGCTTGAATTATCTTCCTAAATGATAATTTCATTTTCAGATTGTCCTTATTCTTAACATTTGTTTCTTCCATATAACTGAAGACTTTTGGCCTGAAGTTTACACATTTTGGCCTGTCTTTAGGGACCTCAAAGATCTAATCCTTTCAAGAGGTGACATTTTGTATCAGAACTCTTAGTTGCAAATGGCAGAAAACCCAGCTCAAACTGACCTAAGCAAAAATGGGAATGTAATGGCTGTTGTAATTTAGTAATCCAGAGGCGGTACTAGTTTCGGATGAATTTGAAGAGATAAATGAGTCACCAAATATAAATCAGTGACTATTATTATAAATCAAGTTATGCTGAGTAGCCATAAACCAAATGTCTACTATATATGTCTTAAAAGTATTTGAAGAAAATTGTTCTATGTACCCTAAGAATCCTTTTAAGATAAACATGCCATTATATTTCACCCCATCCCCGTCTACATCACGGTCAGTTTTAGTTCTCTCCAAATTGTCTTTATCCTTTGCTAGTGGTTTGTGCTGAGATTAACTTAATATCCAAAGTGAGGTTTTAGGACTATGGTAGAATGATCCTTTCTTTTTTCTATAAACTATATTTCTATGAATGTAGCCAAAATCAAAATCTCTCCTTGGTATCTACCCATGTGTTGTTTTTTCCACATATGCCATTTTAAGGCATCTTTTCCACATCCTATACCTGAGCATTTGGCTTTTGAAAGTATTTTATGTCACTTGGTAGCATTCAGCACTTCAATTCAGATAACCTGTACCTCTTGAAGAGTTTGTATATAAAATGCCAATTGCAAATAACACTAGAGATAGTAGAAAACCAACTTAAGTTTTCTTTCTAATGGTAACAAAAATAAATCTTGGTGATTTTTTTTCTTTTTAGATTTTATTTTTTTATTTGAGAGAACAAGTAGAGGGGAGAGGCAGAGGGAGAGGGAGAAACAGGCTCCCTGCTGAGTAGGGGACCTGATGTGGGGCTTGATCCCAGGAATCCAGAATCATGACCTGAGCCAAAGGCAGATGCTTGAATGAGCCACCCAGGCACCCCATAAATCTTGTTTTCAAGCAAGACCTATCCTTAAGCAGTGTGACCAAGACATAATCACTCTCTACTGAGCTCTGATCCATTGGCTCCATTCTGAGAAAGCTCCATCTTTGTGATACTAAGATAGCGGCCACATGTACTTTTGTCCAGCGCAGTGGAAAAGAGCATATCTGCTCCCCCAGCAACATAAGAAGTCCAAGTATGCTGTCTGATAGGACCACCTGAGGTTACACGCTATTCTCAGATCAGTCATCATGGCCAGGGAGGAAGTTATCATGCTCATTAGTTAGGCTTGAGACACATAGCTGGCCTTGAAATTGAGGAATAGGGAGAAAATTAACTTCCCTGGAAGCAAGTGGGTTGTACAGTACAGGGATGAAATTATCAAGAAAACTGGTATTGGATACTGACAGTGAAAACACCAAGGATATATAGATTCAAATTACTATCTTCTTCCCCCACTCCATACAGTTCTCTGTAGCAAGTAAAATATTTCAAAAAGGAGCTAGAGTCATTCTTACCACCGAAGTCCATGGTGAACTTTTTTTTTGTTGGGATTTCAGGTGCCATGTCTCCTTAGTCTAGTTCTCTTACTCCTTTTTTATTCCTTCAGATCTGCTCTCTACCTCAGTGTCATAGAGGGCTGGCCGGTAAGGGGGTGGTATATATAAGATGGAGGGAAGAAGTAATACTCATATTGTAGTGATAGCCACTGCCTATAACTCAGACAACTTCAGAAAATAAACCAACAGGAGGCATTATGGCCTGTGGATGTGTCTGGAGTACCAAAGATGATCGTGTTAACGGAAATAAAGACCTGTATCCAGTGAAGCTGAGCAGCCCCTGAAAAAGCCATTACCAGCTTATTCACCAGCTTCTGTGAGGTCTCCAGGCCTTGAACATGACTAGTTCAAATTCAAGGTGACAAAGGTAGAGGATAAAAGTAGGTATGGAAAGATCTGAACGTTGAAGGACTAAACCAGGTTACCCATGTGATCAGCCTGTATGTATATATATGTATTCTGTGATGGCAAAGACCCATGTAAAAATACTGTTTTTCATTCCCTATATTAGGCACTTTAGTGTGTCACCTTGTTTAACCATCTCAACACCACAAATGAATAAAGCCAGGCTCAGAGAAGTTAAGTAACATTCTGAAAATCATCTAACTACTAAGCTACTAAGTGGTGGGACTAGGATTTAAAACCAGATCTGGGGGCGCCTGGGTGGCTCAGTGGGTTAAAGCCACTGCCTTTGGCTCAGGGCATGATCCCAGGGTCCTGGGATCGAGCCCCCGCATCGGGCTGCCTGCTGAGCAGGGAGCCTGCTTCCCCCCGTCTCTCTCTGCCTGCCTCTCTGCCTCCTTGTTATCTCTGCCAAATAAATAAAATCTTTAAAAAAAAAAGCATTAAAAAAAAAAAAACCAGATCTGACCTAATTTATAGTCCACTCTCCATTGTATCAGTGGTTCACAACCCTAACCCTAAATTAGAGTCACTGGTTAAGCTCTTTAGAAATCTAATTCCCGGGGCGCCTGGGTGGCTCAGTGGGTTATAGCCTCTGCCTTTGGCTCCAGTCATGATCCCAGGGTCCTGGGATCAAGCCCCACATCAGGCTCTCTGCTCAGCAGGGAGGCTGCTTCCCCCCATCTCTCTGCCTGCCTCTCTGCCTACTCGTGATTCCTGTCTGTCAAATAAATAAATAAAATCTTGAGAAAAAAAAAATTAAATTCCCAGGTACGACCACAGACCGACAAAGCCAGAACCTCTAGGGGTGAAATCTGGAAGTTTATATTTATAAAGTTTATATTTATAAGGCACCCAAAGTAATTCAGAGGATTAGCCAGGTAGGGAAATGACGGTTAGAGCCTATAATACCATTAGCGGGTGGTTTTGTTGTTCTATATCCCACACATTCCATTTGCAAGTAGAAATGCTCAGGGGAACAGTGTATGTGTTAGGTGAAGTTTAACAACAGTCCAAATTTAGACACAGAATTCTCAATCTGCTATGTGCCAGAGGTTAAGGGAAATAACTGAGGAGAATATCAAGAAGAATGG